CCCTATGCATGACACGGAGCATCCCAACACATGGCACAAAGCATCCCTATACAGGACACAGAGCATCCCTACAAATGACACGGAGCATCCCTACAAATGACACACAACATCCCTACAAATGACACACAACATCCCTATGCACGACACGGAGCATCCCTATGCACGACACGGAGCATCCCAACAAACGGCACGGAGCATCCCTACGCACGAGACGGAGCATCCCTACGCACGACACGGAGCATCCCTACAAATGACACACAACATCCCTACAAATGACACACAACATCCCTATGCATGACACGGAGCATCCCCATGCATGACACAGAACATCCCCTATGCACGACACGGAGCATCCCAACAAATGGCACGGAGCATCCCTATGCACGACACGGAGCATCCCTACGCATGACACGGAGCATCCCTACGCACGACACGGAGCACCCCAACGCATGGCACAGAGCATCCCTATCAGGACATGGAACATCCCTACACACGACACGGAACATCCCTACGTACAACACGGAGCATCCCAACGCATGGCACGGAGCATCCCTATATGTAACACAGAGCATCCCTATACGTAACACGGAGCATCCCTATAGGTAACATGGAGGCATCCCTATAGGTAACACGGAGCATCCCTATATGTAACACGGAGCATCCCTATAGGTAACACGGAGCATCCCTATAGGTAACATGGAGGCATCCCTATAGGTAACACTGAGCATCCCTATATGTAACACGGAGCATCCCTATCCCTGACCCCACACACGTGTCCCGCGCTCACAACCACCACATTCCCCCCCCCCCCCCCACGTGTGTGCATGCGGGAGCCGTGTCCCCGGGCGGGAACACGCGTGTGTGGCCGTGGCTCCGGACACGGCGCTGCCTCCACAGTGGAGCCCCATGGGGGGATGTGGGGAGGGGGAATGGGGGGGTGCAGATGGGATTTGGGGGGGAGATGAAGGGGATGGAGGGGATGGGAGTGGGACATGGGGGGGAATGTCGGAGGGGACATAGGGGAGACGTGGGGGGGGATGTGGGGATGATACGGGGGTATGAGGGGGATATAGGGGGTATATAAGGGGGATATGGGGGGTACGAGGGGATATGGGGGTGGTATGAAGGGGATATGGAGGGGTACGAGGGGGATATAGGGGGAGTACGAGGGGGATATGGGGGAGTATGAGGGGGATATGGGGGTGGTATGAAGGGGATATGAGGGGGTACGAGGGGGATATGGGGGTGGTATGAGGGGGATATGGGGGTGGAATGAAGGGGATATGAGGGGGTACGAGGGGGATATGGGGGGGGTTACGAGGGGGATATGGGGAGTATGAGGGGGGATATGGGGCAGAAATGAGTGGGATGTGGATGGGATATGGGGGTCCAATAGGAAAACTGAGGCATAGGCATGCCCAGACCCTCCCATTCCCATCAGTGACCCAGGTCCCCCCCACAGACCCACCTCAAAACCCCCATCCCATCCCAGACCCCCCAAATCCCCCGCAAAGACCCTCAAATCTCCCCTAAACCCTCCCAGCCCCCCACGTCAGGATCTCCATGGGGGGCACAGATGCCCCCAAAACCCTTCATATCCCCCAACCCCCCTCTATACCCCCCCATAGGCTCCCCAACCCCCTCTGGACCACCCAAAACCCCTCAAATCCCCCCATAATCCCTCCCAGGACCCTTCCATCCCCTCACAGACCCCAACATCTCCTCACACCCCCCCCCAAAGCCCCTCAGAAACCCCAAAATCTCTTCAACCGCCCCCAAATCTCCTGAACCCCACCCAAATCACCCCAACACCCCCCAAAACTACAAAGCCCATCCCCAGACCCCAATACCTCCTTACAAACCACCCCAAATCCCCTCAGAAACCCCAAACCCCCCAAAAATCACCTCAACCCCCCCAAAACCACAAATCAATTCCCAGACCGTGACACTTCCACACAAAATGCCCCAAAATCCCTGAGAAACCCCAAATCGCCTCAAAGACCCCCAAAAATGAGCCCCAAAATCACCCCAACCCCCCAAACCACAAATCCCATCCGAAACCCCAACATTTCCACACAGAACCCCCCAAACCCCTTATAAACCAACTCAAAACCCTTAAAATCACCTAAACCCCCCAAATGACCTCCAAACCCCTCCCAAACCTTCACAAAAGGTCCCAAAATCAGCTCAACCCCCTCAGAACCCCTCATTTCACCTCACAGAACCCCCTAATCCCCATTAGAAACCCCCCAAACTCCCTCAGATCCCAACATCCCCACACACACCCCCCCCAAATCCCCTCATAGACCCCACCCCCCCCACAAATCCCTTCAGAACCCCCAAATTCCTTCACAACCCCCCTCAAAACCCATAAATCCCACCATAAACCCCCAAATCTCCACACAAAACACCCCAAAACCCCCTCATAACCCCCCAAAACACCCAAATCCCCTCAAAAAAGGCCCTGAAACGCCCCAAATCCCCTCACAGACCCCTTAAACCAGGTAAATCCCTTCAGAAAACCCCAAATTTCCTCACAAAACCCCTCAAAATCCCCCCCAACCCATAAATCCCATCACAAACCCCAACATCTCCACACAACCCCCCCCAAACCCACACAAAACGCCCCAAATTCCCTCAGGAACACCAAAATCACCACATAAACGCCCTCCCCCCCCCCCCCCCGATCCCTTTGTAGACCCCCAAATCCCTCACAAAACCCAACATTTCCATACAAAACACCCCCAAATCCACACAAAACGCCCCAAAAGCCCTCACAGACCCCATCATCTCCTCACAAAACACCCAAAATCCACAGAAATTGCCTCAAATCTCCTCACAGACCCCCCCATCCCCTTATAGACCCCCTCATCTCCACACAAAACACCCCAAATCCACACAAATCGCCCCAAATCTCCTCATGGACCCCTTCATCTCCACCCAAAACACCCCAAATGCCCATAAACACCCCAAATCGACACAAAACACCCAAAATCCTCATAAATCACCTCAAGTCTCCTCATAGACCCCTTCATCTCCACACAAAACACCCAAAAATCCTCACAAAACACCCAAAATCCACACAAATCGCCCCAAATCTCCTCACAGACCCCTCATCTCCACACAAAACACCCCAAATCCACACAAAACACCCAAACCCCTCACAAATCGCCCCAAATCTCCTCACAGACCCCCCCATCCCCTCATAGACCCCCTCATCTCTACACAAAACCCCCAAAACCCACACAAATCGCCCCAAATCTCTCCATAGACCCCCCTCATCTCCACACAGAACACCCCAAATCGACATAAAACACCCCAAATCCACACAAATCGCCCCAAATCCTCTCATGGACCCCTTCATCTTCACACAAAACACCCCAAATGCCCATAAAACACCCCAAATCGACACAAAACACCCAAAATCCCCACAAATCACCTCAAGTCTCCACACAGACCCCTTCATCTCCACACAAAACCCCTCAATCCTCACAAAACACCCAAAATCCACACAAAAACACCCAAAACCCACACAACTCACCCCAAATCTCCTCACAGACCCCCCCATCCCCTCACAGACCCCCTCATCTCCACACAAAACACCCAAAATCCACACAAAACACCCCAAATCCACACAAAACACCCCAAATCCTCACAAATCGCCCCAAACCTCCCCATGGACCCCCTCATCTCCACACAAAACACCCCAAATCGACACAAAACACCCAAAATCCTCACAAACCACCATCAAATCACAAAACCCCCTCCTCTCCACACGAACCCCCCCAAATCCTCACAAACCCCCCAAAATCGCCAGAAATCACCCCAAATCTCCTCATAGACCCCTTCATCTCCACACAAAACACCCGAAATCCTCACAAAACACCAAAAATCCTCACAAATCGCCCCAAATCTCCTCACAGACCCCTTCATCTCCACACAAAACACCCCAAATCCACACGAAACACCCAAAATGCTCACAAATCACCCCAAACCTCCTCATAGACCCCTTCATCTCCACACAAAACACCCCAAATCGACACAAAACCCCCAAATCCTCACAAAACACCCCAAATCCTCACAAATCGCCCCAAATCACCTCATAGAACCCTTCATCTCCACACAAAACACCCGAAATCCTCACAAAACACCCGAAATCCTCACAAAACACCCAAAATCCTCACAAACCGCCCCAAATCTCCTCATAGACCCCCTCATCTCCACACAAAACACCCCAAATCCACACAAAACACCCCAAATCGCCAGAAATCGACCCAAATCTCCTCAGACTCCTTCATTTCCACAGAAAACACCCCGAATCCACACAAAACCCCCAAAATCCTCACAAATCGCCCCAAATCTCCTCATAGACCCCTTCATCTCCACACAAAACACCCAAAATCCTCACAAACCGCCCCAAATCTCCTCATAGACCCCCCCATCCCCTTACAGACCCCATCATCTCCACACAAAACACCCCAAAATCCACACAAATCGCCCCAAATCTCTCCATAGACCCCCTCATCTCCACACAAAACACCCAAAATCCACACAAATCGCCCCAATTCTCCTCATAGACCCCCTCATCTTCACACAAAACACCCCAAATCCACACAAAACACCCGAAATCCTCACAAGTCGCCCAAAATCTCCTCACAGACCCCCCCATCCCCTCACAGACCCCCTTCATCTCCACACAAAACACCCAAAATCCACACAAATCGCCCCAAATCTCCTCACAGCCCCCCCATCCCCTCACAGACCCCTTCATCTCCACACAAGACACCCAAAATCACACAAAACACCCCAAAATCCTCACAAATCGCCCCAAATCTCTCCATAGACCCCCTCATCTCCACACAAAACACCCCAAATCGACACAAACCCCCCCCAAATCCACACAAAACCCCCAAAATCCCCACAAATCTCCCCAAATCTCCTCAGAGCCCCCCCCCCATCCCCCGCGTCCCCTCACACGGCGCCCCTCCCCCCGCACTGACCGAACATGCCGAGGCCTCTCCGCGGGGCGGTGGCGGGGGGCAGGGCGGTGGAGGACATGGTGGGGGGAGGGGAGGGGTTCCCGGTACCGGGGGGTTCGTGTGGGGGGGGAGGGGAGGGGAGGGGGGGGAGGGGGGGACCCGAACACGGGGCCGCGGCCTCCGCCCGCCCGCGCCGCGCGCGCCAGCAAAGGGCGGCCGCGCCGCCCCCCCCCTCCCCTCCCCTCCCCTCCCCCCCCCGCAGCTCGGGCTCTTCCCGCCCCCCTCCCCCCCCCTACACCCACCCCGACCGCCGCGCATGCGCAGAGCGGCGACGCCCATTGGACGGCGCCCGCGCGTATGCAAATGAGATGGGGGGGGAGGAGGGGGGAACCGCTACAACAACGGACACCGCCCCCCCCCCAACCCCCACACACCCCTTACCAGCGGGGCCACGCCCCCTCCCCCCTGTAGCCACGCCCCTCTCCGTAGCCACGCCCCCTCCCCCCCCTAGCCACGCCCCCTCTCCCCCCCGTAGCCACGCCCCCTCTTTCCCCGGACAAGGGAGGGGCGGGGGGGGGGGGACGACGACGTCACGTGGCTAACCA